ATTTAGGACAATTTAATCCAAAGAAGATAAACAGTTCTTTACTCCCCAAAACACTGACGAAAGTTTTATTTTTCATTTCAGTGAATTTCAAGATTTACAAATGTGAGGACAGAAAATGTTCTTTTCAGCCAATTCAATGTCAAAGTGTTGCCATGGATACACCTGACAATGCAGAAGCCTGGTCGAAAACTGTAATCAGAACACAACATTTCATACAAAGTTTTAGAGCTCTAAGAGGACAAAACGAACAACCTTACATAAAAAAAAATGTTTTTTAAACTTTGCATAAAGTTTTTAAGGAGCTATAAATTCAAAGTCTTTCAGATTGAATCACATCTTTAGTCAGTTTGACCTTTTGACGGTAACAGCTGAGTGTTTTGCAACAAAGGTGGTAAAAGCAGCTAAGTCCCTCAAAGCTACAGCACGCTAGAGTTTACTCTTGAAAATGTTTTTAAAAACAGTTACGTGCCCTTGCATATGTGAGCTGTGAGAAGAAGTTCCTCCTTCCTGTGATGTGGAGTCACGGTTCTTCACCACATTCAGCAGAACCTAAACCTACCAGATGAAGGCTCGCCACTGCTTTAGGGTTGACGGTCTAATCTGAGCAAAGATGTCCAAATGCGAGTCATGTCAAGATTGTAAACACTTAGCATATATGAATATTAATGTTCCACATTAAAGCCCAAAGCCTAGATGGAAGAATTAATGAGGATAAATAACAGACAGCCAAGCAGAGAAGTCTCAGCACTGACATTATTTATCATCCTTAACTTTTGTCACAGCTCCTTTTTTAGTAATTAATATCGTACAAGAAGGCACTTTGCACTTGGATGAGTGATCTAATTTGTTTAATATAATGGAATTAAAGGAGCTTGAATTGCTTTATGTTAATGCCTGTGATTATGCTGGTGGCTGGGATGCCTTTTTCGGCAGCAGATAACAGACTGAACTTGAGGATTGATGTGCGTCTCAGATCTGCCATGTTCATCAAGGAAACTATTTAACTGCCGTTTACATGTGCCGACTCTACACTTAATCACACAAGCCTGATCTCAATCAGGAGAAAAATCCACAAACAGAAGGCACTGCTCATGGGGCTGCAACGCCAAATAGAAAAATATCTTTTTTTTTTTATTTTGCTTTAGAACACAGCAGATGAATAAAAGCCAAAGACAACAAGTAAATTAATGTTTTCTAAAATGTTCTGTGCAGGAAAATGGGAAATAACGAGCTGGTTCAGTAGTTAGCTGTAACACCCTCAGAGTGGAGTGATGTTTAACTAGATTTAACAGCGAATGTTGTTAATAAAACAAGGAGCACCGTGTGTTGACATCTTGGCCGTAAATGTTATAGGGATGGCTGATTCAAACAAAGTGCTGGTAGGGGGGCTAGATGTTCAACAACTCCCTCTGGGAGCTCTGACATTGGAGTTAGGAGGACACAGAGTGACTGGGGGTAAAATTTGACATTGGGAGCACAGAAAAGAGCGAAGGCGTAGCAGAGGAGAGCACAGCTTGGAGCAAGAGTGCAACACACAAATGACTAGTGATGGCTCTGTAGCATGCGAGCCACACTTCTCCCTGCCCTGAAGAGGAGAAGCTCACCTTTAAAACTAGGGTTACATTTCCCTCCCTCTTAAACACACTCTAAAAAATAACAATGATACAGATTTAGGTGTGTTTAACACCAAAAACCTGCTCACAATATCAGCCTGATGGATGGCTGCACACAAACCAAAATATATTTTACCTAATTTATATCTAATTATAGCACTTATAGGATTCAGATGGCCTAGATTAATGGCTTCTGTTGGAATAAGCCATTAAGAGTGAGAAACTGAAGGAAAATGACCAAGATTAACCCTCTTGTTAACATTTGTGCCCCTGAGCTTGAGTCTCTCCTAGTTAATTAAATGAGACCTCAGATAAGGTGCAGCTAATAGTCTGCCCTCAAACTCAACATCCTCCTTACTGCCTCCTTCTACTTTATACTTACCACTGAAAGACAAAAATGGGATATTTATAATGCTTAAACCTTTCTCTCCCCCACAAAACCCTTCCTTATTCATGTATTTATTTATTCAAATAGTATAATTAATAAAACTCTTTTTCAGACTGGATAACACCAACTAAAGCCAAATTTAGACCATCACTTATGTTTTGTGTTTGCATATCAGGACATAGTAAAGTTGATCTGATCTTTATCAGGTTGTCCAACTATTCAAATCTAACCTCCAGACCACGTAAACAACAGACTGTGTCATGGTAATATTTATTAATCATTGAAAAGCTAAAGGGAAAAGCTGTGTGTAGAAAAACTAAGCTCACCTCATGGTTCAGTAACTTGTAGAATCTCCTTAAAGGTTTTTCTCTGTACAACTCCAGTGGCTTTTCACATTCTTGTGGAAGAATTTTAATGCCGTTTTCTTTAGAAGTTTGCTTCTGTTCTTTGACGTTCGCAGGAAACAGTTTCCACACGGCTCGCTCAAGGTCAGGCTACGGAATGTCAGGTGGGTTGACGTCTGGACTGAATGGACCTTTGCATCATCTTGATTCTCATTTTTAAGCCATTCTGCTGTAATTTTGAGCTTCATCTTGTTAGAAAGATACCATTGTATTTGACTCTGGTATACAGTAGAGGTGATGGTCAACTAAATTATTTCAAGATGCCAAATCATCAGCCCTCCACCACCGTGCTGACAGCTGGCATGAGCTGTCTGTTCCAACAATGTTGGAACTTAATTCTTAATTCTCATCTGTTTAAAGGCTGTTGTTCCTGATGTTTTGTAATTCAATTACATGTGACTTTGCAAACCAAAGTTACTTAAGTTTATTATAAGTGGTCAGAACGTGGTAGTAATGTGGCATAATTGTGTCCTTTTTACAAACCATTATGCAGTGGCGGTATAAAGGGGGTATGGGGATGGTCTCTGCGCTGTTGCAGACCTCTCTTTAGCTTGGACATAACTTGCTTTTTATTGCGATTGAAGACGGGCTCATTAAGTTTTCTTGACAAGCCGCTTCTGAAGGTGTCTACCCTCCACAATCCCCGTGAATGGCCAGGTGATCCGAGCACCAGCTCTAACAAAGAGAAGCTCCCGGAGCTCTGCCTCGCATCAGTTTATCATCTCAGCTGATTCGGTTTCCAAAAGTGACACTTATTGCCTGTGTTTACTTTCTTTTTAAAATAGTTATTCCACACGTGACCATGGCACCACCCTCTTTTATGCCAAGGCGTAATATGCATTCACAAGTCCAGCATTGTAGCAATATTACTACCGAGCCTAGCGGTACGTATGCTGCAAAATTCCCGCATCGCCATGTCGCCGCGGCGTGTTCATAGTACATGACATGGCGACAGTCTTACACTGATTTAAAGGCATGGTGTGTCTTCTAAAAAGAGCTACTGACTCAGTCTGCTTTGCAATGCTGACATTTTATCACAAATAACCCATGCCTGAAGGTGTTCTACCTTGTGGTTGAGTTGCTAATGCTAATGATTAGCTCCTACTAGATGAGACATTCTCTGCTGTTACCTGAAAGCTAAACCAACAACAGCCTTCCCGTTGTGTGCCAAGATGGGTGAGTCCTTGAATGTTGTGACAGTGTGACGTAGACCTGTCAGGATTTTAAAATCCTAGAGTTTCACCATCTATTTTCTATCAGAAGCTAATGCTGGAGATAGGTGTAGAAGACTGATTCACGTCCAGCCTGCATGGAAAACTCAGAGTGACCGATTATAATCAGAAATAATAATTGAAGAATGTTTTTTCAGTGAAGCTGAACTTTAACCTGCTAAGCCTGTTATGTGTGAGATGGAGCTCATCTGCATCTTGTAACGTCATGTAAGGGTGACTTTGCAGCACTGTACACTATTGGGGGAGACTAAGCCCCCACAATGCGGGTGAAAAATTGAAGCAAACGCAGAAGTGAAATAAATTGCAGTTCCACCTTCATCCGCTGGGGGCTGGTGTCAGAAGCGAGCAAATCCTCATTGACTCCCATGTTAAAAATACCAATTTCACAGCAGAAATAAACATGTTTACAGCCTGGTACCAAAACATGTTTTTGGTTTAAATGATCTAGTTTACACTCATGACAACTCTGAGGGGGGTGAATTTTTTCTCACTCTTCTGTTTAAGTGTATTAAAAGCCTAAAATTCTGTATAATTAATGAGCATCAGACCCATGTGACCGCCGCCTCAGACCCACGTGACCACAGAGCTAGCTCCGTGGAAAGGCCTCAGTAGAGCCTCGGTCTGGCTTGGAAACTGTTCTAGGATTTTGAGTCTCCGTGTTTGTGTATTCTATTTTGGATATTATTTGTGCAATTGTTGGACAAAATGACTTGCTGTGGCATTAATTGCACTAATAGAGCGTCCAAGGAGTCTCCACTTCATTTTTTTTGGTAAGTAAAATTATATTTATGTATTTTAGGTCACTGCCAAGCTGAGCTTAGATTTTAACATGTACTGTTTAACCATGAAATTTAAATGTAATAGGGTAAAACCCAGTGCATTTAACATAATGCTGCACTTTAGAAAATGGGTTGAAATATAACATGTTGGTGGAGCTGGGTTCCGACAATCGGCTTGTGGAGCTCTCGGGAGACCGATGTTTTCCACCCGTTCTCGCCTCCCCGCAGCTCGGCGCATCTCTGTCTGATCGCGGCTTCTGTCTGCTGCGCGGGCTGCCGGCTTGTGGAGCTCTGGGATGGAAACCTCTCCACCTACTTCTCCCCAGCGGCAGCTCAGTGCATCTCAGATTGCAGCGGCGCTTGTCGGCTGTGCGGCTGCAGGCTTGTGGAGGTCTGGGAGACCTCTGTGTTCTACCCAGTTTTACCCAGCGGTCAGCCCGGCGTATCTCTGACTCGGAAGCTCTGGTGTTGTGCACAGTTAACTCCGGTTGTAGCTAGGTTGCTATCTCCGTTAGCTTAGCTCCCACCTCTGCGTTAGCTTTGGGTTAGCTTCAGGTTAGCTTGTAGCTAGTTCGACCGGGTGTCATCAGTTGATCCCAGCCTTACAGCCCCACCCTCAGTTCCACCTCTCTTCCCTTTTGTGGAATTGTCTGGGCTTGACGGAACCTGTGACACGGTCAAAATGGCGGTGGTGGCCACCTCCCTTTTTTTTTTTCAAAAACGTGTTATTGGAGCCTATGAAAACCCATTGTCCAATTTTTATATGTCGATGGGGGAGACTGGCAACAGCTTTAATGGTTTCCACTTGTAAATAATCCTTCCCTCACTTAAACATTGGATTTCAAGTTGGTTGGAAAAGACCTTTAAGCCCTCCCAGAATGGTAAGCAGCAATTACAGCTTTTTGTAAGAAAACTCTGCTGCGTTGTCTCTTCAGTTTTTGGAAGCAGAAAAGGCAGTCCTTGTTTTTATTTACAGAATTTTTTTTAATTAGTTTTAATTCTATTATTTAAAAAAACCCAAACTAACAGCACAGACCCATGGCGTAATTCTTAACACTTGTTGTTACATTTGCATGGTTTTAGAACCTGGTAAAGATCTAATTGTTTTTATAATGTCCTGGTAGGTAAAACATTGAAAGAAAGTGGAGATTCGTTTTACCACAGCTGTATATGTGTGTGTACATCAGACCCATTAACAAAAGCTCTCAGCCTCTCATCGATTTATCGTAGCTCTGGTCGGTGGACAGCCTCTACTGCGGAACACAAAAAGAAAGTTAAAAAAGCCAGAGGGGATCAATGGGCTCAGAGATGTTTGTGAAGACGAGTGGAAGGAGAGCACTCAGGTGACAGCTTCCCTATAGAGCTGCCAATCATGTACACAACACCTGCTGACTCTGAAGAAGACACCTCTGACCAGCAGAGAATTTATTGATTTTAAGTCTCACAATCCTTCCGCGCTATTCTTTGGCCATCTTGTTTGCCTTCTCTTTTTATTCACCTGCCAGTCTGCCCATTAGCTGTATATTCTTGTCAGACATCCTCATCAGCAGAAAGTTCTGCTTCTGTTCCTCCAGTTCTAAGCAATTCTCCTATTTAATAGGAGTAAAATCTCCCCAGAAATAAGTCATTTACATTCACATGTGCATATGAACACACATGTACAGTATGTGTATTAAAAACAGCAAATGTTGCAAATACAAGACACAAATCATTGAATTATTCCCTTATTTTAGCCTTTTGCAGTCCATTGTAAATATTAGTGTGGTTGTTTTATAAATACATTTGCAGTGGTCTCTAGTAGGGATGAATGCCTTGTAAGTTGTCAGAAGAGAAAAAATATACTCTCCACAACAAGTCCTTTCATATAACCCCAGTGCTGGCATCTCTTCATTGGATCCCTGTGTACTACAGGATTCATTTCTAAGTCCTCCTATTTGTTTTTAAATCTCTTCATGGCTTGGCCCCACCATACATCAGCGAGTTACTGTCCATCTACACTCCCGTCAGAAACATGAGGTCTGGCTCACAGTCTTTTTTAATTGTTCCAAAAACACGTTTAAAAACTCTGGGAGACAGGGCTTTCTCTGTGGCTGGTCCTAGTCTGTGGAACAGCCCACACAGAGCACACAGCATTTTAAAGCATTACTTAAAACATATTTGTTTGATCTGGCTTTTAATGCAGGTTGACTTGAGTAGTTAACCTCTGCTTTTATTTGACTTGCATTTTTATCTTATACTCTTTCAGCACTAAATGAATTTTTACAATATTTTAACCTTGATTTAATTTGTTCTTGATTGTGTTTATTATTGACTTATTTATTTTTACCCTTGTTCAGAACTTTGGGGTTGCCTGTGTGACTGTAAATGTGCTATATAAATAAAGTTGACCTTGACCTTCATTATGCCATACCATACCAATTTATTTATAAAGCACCATTTAAAATAGCATGGCAGCTAATCAAAGTGCTGTATGCTCAAACATATCAGCAAAAACATAGTGACAACATGGAAATCACGCAAAATACACAAAGACATAGCATAAACAATCAAGGATAAAAATTCCTACTAAAACTAACAGAATAAGAAAACAGGTAAAAGGTAACAAAGTGAAAAAATAATGCAGCGAGTGATGAAAACCATTTGAAATGGCACAAATAAAAAAAAAATAATTAAATTAAAAGCTACAAGATAGTGCAAGGTGTTAAAAAGTGAGTTACTGAATCATAAAAACTAAATTGAGAAAAGGTAGGAGAACAACAGCAATTACATATAAAATAACATCAACTACTTAAACAGCTAAATGTTTAAGGTCCACGGGTGTCATCACATCTCACTGCGTAAGATCTTAACTAAAAGTTACATAAACATGACAAAAATGCTATAAGTCAAATCAACCTTTTTGTTTTTATTTATTTGTCTTTTCTGACTAATGAGTTGCACAGAAAAGTACAAAACTACATTAAAAAAAGTGAATCTCTTGTAACATTCTGATTTTGTCAGCTGTGTGAAATGGTACAGTTGTTTTTTCAAACCAAATCTCTGAGCTCAGAAGATAAAAAAAAAATTATTCGTTTTGTTTGTTGCTATAAATGGTGGTAAGTGCCTTGCCTGGATACACCAGCAATCCAAGCAGCAATGTAGAACAACTAAAATGATATCTTGCTGTTGTGTAACCTGGAATCATTAAAGCCAAATAATAAAATCCGACACAAAATAATTATTAAGCTAGTCTGTTTCATGGCAGGAACTCTGACTAGAACTCATAGGTGAGTTAAACAGGGCTGCATCCCATTATGAAAAAACCAATTGTGCTCAATAGCAGGTTTACAGAACAGCCAGCACATATGCAGCTGTGGAAGTGGAATGTGGCCCTCGTTAATCCACATGTGCTCTCCAGACACATGCAAGTTAGGAGAATAGTCATAAAATAAGTTTAAGGATATCAGTGTGCTCTTCATCCCAAAATAAACTGGTCTTTAACGCTTTTGTTGCTTTAAAAATGATCTAAATCTGCAGATTCACTACAAGTGGCTTTATGAGGCAATAGACAGAGAGAACAGTGATACTGATAAGGAAATGTATGTTTTATGGATATTTTTCATGAGTGGCTCTTTCACATTTGACTGCTACACAAAAATAAATCAAACTTAGCTGTTAACTTTTCAGTTTACATGTTGAGCTCTGAATGGGCTTTAACCAATTCTTTCATCAAAACAAAGGAACAAACAAAACAAACCTTGAATGTCTGAAACCTTCATCTGGTTTAAAACATTGTGCTTGCTGAGGTTGGTATCAGGGAGCTGAAAGAGCTGGGCGGGCAAGGAAGATGCTTGATAGGTTCCTTCAGAGATGTCCACAGTGTGTATGGTGTGTGTGTATGTGTGTGTGAGTGTGTGTGTGTGTGTGTGTCCATGTAGCTTGAGGGACCTGTCTGTGGGAAGCTGATTGCGGTGGCTCTCATTATGTGGCCGGTGGCTGTAATGGAGTGTGACAGCAACGCACTGCACTCTGGATCTGTGTCCTTACAGCCTGCAAAGCCAATTAAACACACTCTGCCCTTCTCTCCTGACTGTCAGGCCCTGCTTTGCTCTCAATCACTCCATCCTTCCATCCCTCGCCAACTCCATCCTCAGCATTTGTAGTCCGCTCTTTCAAACCCTACCTGCAGCACATCTCGGAGGCCGATACTTATTCTCTCCTTTGCTTCTGGCTCTTATTTCCTGACATCTACATCACCACTTGGAGCTCCACTTGCCCTCCCCTCCCTGCATGTTGCACACCTGAGCATTCCTCACGCTAACTTAAAGCCTGTCTCCAAGTGGCTGCTGCAGTAAAGCATGGTTCCTTTCTGGTGAAGTGCAGGCCTGCAGGGAGGGAAAGCCTCTGATGGCACCTTCTTTCTATGCCACCACACACACAGTCAAGAAAAAAAGAGGAAGGCAGAGGAAGAGAGCACCACTTGGTTCCTCAGGACCCAGAGCAGTCACAGCCACTTAGGAGGAAAAATGCCCTGCAGCACCAAAAACACACAGTCCATTTATCACTCCCTCATAGTCCCCTAAAATGTGTACACACACTGTGTATGTGTGTGTATGTATGTGTGTGTTTACTACCACCAGGCCTGCACTGCTGGGGTTTAAGTGTTTAAAACCATGCCCTGAAATTCCAGTCTGCAGCCTGGGTGAAAAGCTCGTCTGACATCTTTCCTCCTTCTGTAAAGTGCTCTGACAGCACCAATCCTGTAGCTGCGTAGCTGCAATAAGCAGAATTCACTCCCTTTCCCAGAAGCAAGTTGATGAGTGTGTGTATGTACACTGCTGTACAGGAAGGGGGTAGCTAGGTACCTGTTTTAAACCAGCCGCCATCTGTAAAAGACTCTCTGGTTTCCTGGGGTTTGTTCCAGTACTCTTTAAAGACAGACGGACCACGAACCAGCAGCTCCCCTTCTTTACCCTCCAGACCCGCACGAACCTGCAAAGTATTCAAACAAAGAAAAAAAGAGCATTACGACAGATGGATGTGAAAGTCTGGGGTACCGGAATGTTGTTTAATTAAGCCAATATAAATGCAAATGATTCGGCAGGGGTCACATGAAACAGCAGCTTATACAGAGAACACAACTGGCTAGGTTAGTAAAACCTAGTTAGTTGCTGCAAAGAAATGGACAGAGTGACGTTGAGATGTTATCAAGCTGTGCATAGTAGCAAAAACATCTTCATTAGGAAGTGATACTGTTTCAAAAGCACAATGCTCGTGTCATTGTGCAGTTTTACCTTCAAAACCCACATTAGCAGCTAAACTGGAATGAGAAACAAGAAAACTTAAAGGGGAACTAGGCAGTTTTGACCAGCTTTTAGCACCCTATAGTTTCCATTTGTAGAACCGAAACACCTTGATCTAACAGATGAAATGCCTCCCAGCCTTTCTTAGTGTCTACAGGAGTGATTCTTCACTAAATTAAACAAATCAGCCGTGTGCATGATCTAAAACAAGCAGGAACTGGGCTGGAAATCCCAACAGAGCGCCCCGCCAGTCTGAAGTTGTAAGTGAAATATTCTGGCCACAGGGGGCGATAGGGGCTGGGTGGCCTTTCATTAACCCTCTAAAGGGTCATTTTTGCACATACTGGCTCAAGAAAATGATTTAAAAATATGAAAAAGTTGCAAAGTATCCCTTTAAGTTAGTACATGATTCTGATAACAGAGCCTAGTCTTAAAAAAGGAAGCTCTTGATGAACTTGTCTAGCAAACATAATCACTCCTATGGAAGCAGAAGTTTGCAGGTTTAAAGCAAACAGGTTTGACATGTTGAAAAATACCAAGAAAGAAAGTAATTAACTTTAAAAAGAAAAATTATGATGCTTGTTTATCTTAGAAGGGTTATAATGCTATTTATATAATATGAAGTCCATTGGTGTGACAAAGATTAAGACAGATGTCAACATACTTAAGTAGGTCCGTGTAACACTTGGAGGAAGAGTAAAAAAGCCAAGAGCTAAATCTATTTGCAGCTGAAGAGTCTGAAGCTTTCAAAAACAAATCCTGGTTGTGTGGAAAGGATGTAAAGAATAAGGACCCTGTCTCCAAAAAAAAAAAAAACTAAATAAAAAAACCTACATTGCTTTGGGCAATTTAAAGCAAACAGATGAGGTAGAAGTCATAACACACAAAATCATAACTATACCATGTTCCACTGGAGCAGCTGACAGCATGGAGAAAATACAGTACTCACTTTGCATCAGTCTCACACCGATGTCTAAATATCTGCAGGATTAAGGAAGACTAAGACTACATCCAATATTTCCAGTTTGTTTCTCTGCCTGGAGATAAACGTCATTCTCACTGTAGTTTAATGTTTACCCGCGTCTCTTTGTGATTTCCTTCCACTATAGTAGTGTTGGTCGCGTTATTCAAGACAATTTGGACATCCACACCTGGAAGAGGCACTCCCACAGCTCCTGTTGAATTTAAACACAACACATTATTTTTAAAGCAAACAAAGTGTCATTTTTTTATTGTCACCTTGCAAAAATAACAGCCAATGAAGTAAGTACTGACAGCCTTTGGTTGAGCATTTTTCTGTGAAATGGGCAGTCTGCTTCCGACACGATGGCATTAACCTCCATCCATTGGGAAGAACTGGTCACTGAGTGAATTGCTGAGTTTGTGAAACTAGAAACAATTTGTCTCAGTTAGCAGAAGTCAGCTTGCTTTGACAGTATTGGCCATTTCTGGGCAATGTCTGATGCAGCTTTTATTGCCAACATATGAAAAAAATAAAATAAAATAAAAAAATAAAATAACAGAACTGTTTGAACATTTTTCTTGGTTTGCACTTATTTCACGTGGCTTCTGAAAAAGCCAGTAATTGACAGTAGTGTACAATTTAGTCCTTGAGTCTTAACTACTGCTGAGTGCTTGACAGGCTTTCACTGAAGCACAGCTGAATAAAAAAGGCTCCAAGTTGACAAGTTATCAAAAACCATAAAATCCCTGTGTCAAAAACTGAGTGCTTATAACTTAGAGCTGCAGAAATGCTTAATTATTAACAAAAATGTGTAAAAAAAAAGCATAAACGTGTAAATTCCCACATGTTCTGACATCACCTGAATTCTATTATGTTTGCAAATGTGACCCTCAGCGGTAAGTAATTATGAATACTGGGATGCAAAAAGAGAAAGTCTAAGGGGTCTTCCGTGTGTGTGTGTGTGTGTGTGTGTGTGTGTGTGTGTGTGTGTGTGTGTGCGCGCATCTGCCTTAAGACTACAATGCAATTTTACAGAGTACAGCTCTTGAAATGAAAAGCAGGTCAGGACTTGATTACAGAACGAGTGTCTCACTCCATATTGATCTCATCAGTTCAAGTCCTGAATGAGAGACTAGAGTTGAATGGATCAATGACAAGCTAGTGAGCACAAAAGAAATCTGAATACTTTAGAATGGAGGTATTTAGTTTAATTTTACCACTTTTTCCTCATCAGTAATCAATGTAAAATCAATATTCAATGGCAAATTAGAAGTGGCATTATGCAACAGAACAAACTGGTTCCATACAGTGCTCGGTATAAGTGAGTGCAGATTTAATCAGGAGCTCAATGAACAAAAGAACAATTTCCAGAATTTTCACAAGGCTGGGTTTGATTGAACTCTTGTTTAACTCCATAACATTAAATTGAGGTTAATAATATAACTTAGATCACAAAATCTTCACCCATTCATTTTCAGCTGCTTATCCGGAGTCGGGCCGTGGGACAGCAGCCTAAGCCGAGAGGCCCAGACTTCCCTCTCCCCAGCTATTTGGGCCAGCTCCTGCAGGGGAATCCCAAGGCGTTCCCTAGCCAGGTGAGAGACCTAGTTCCTCCAGTGTGTCCTGGGTCTCCTCCCAGTTGGACGTGCCCAGAAAACCTCACCAAAGGAGGCATCCTAACTAGATGTTCGACCCACCTCAAATGGCTTCTCTAATGGAGGAGCAGTGAGTCTACTCCAAGCCCCTCCCTGATGACAGAGCTGCTCACCCTATCTCTAAGGGAGAGCCCAAACACCTTATTGAGAAAACTCATTTCGGCCACTTGTATCCACGATCTTGTTTTTTCGGTCACTACCCTAAGCTCTTGACCATTGGTGAGGGTAGAAACACAGATCGACCGGTCACCTTTACGACACCATACATTTTTGAAACCACTAGCTCCAAAACCAGGGATCTTTGTCTCATCACTCCAGAGTCCGAGTAGTCTTCATCTCTTTCAGCATAGGCCCTACCAAATCCGAGACGTCCTTTTTTGTGCATGAGCTTTAGGAGAGGTTTCCTTCATGGACGATACCCATGCATGCCATGCGCCGTATGGCGTCACGGGAAACGGTCACTCCAGTCTGACTTTCTACTGCTTTAGCTAACTGCAGTGAACTTGCATGGTGATTTTCTTCAACTTCTCATCAAAAGACGCTCCTGTTGAGATGTTAACTTCCGTGGATGGTCTGGACGTCTCTGTAAGATGGTTGCATTTCCAACTTTCTTACATTTTTGGATCATTTTTGCTACAGTATTCTGACTGATATGTAAAGCTTTGCTGATCTTCTTTTTTGTGTAAAGAAATTATTTCCTTTCTCAGATTTTATGTCTCTTCTCTTCCACATGGAGCCATTGCTGACAGCATGAAATGAGAAGGGCTTTTCTTTGTTAAGTAATGTTCTTTTATAGTCACCTGCCTGCTGGACACCTCTTAAAGGAACCATTAGACTCACCTGTGATTGAATGCTTGTTGATTAGAATTTTGTAGTCTTACGTTTAGCTTTTCCCCTAAGACGATAACTGGGATGTACTCATTTTTGCAACATGGGCTTAAATGGATTTGTTGAAAATCACTTTTTTGTGTGAGTAAATGAACACATTATGTTTGCAATCAGTGGTCCACATTTGTGGGAGTATTTTGTATCATGGTATCTCATAGAAAATGTTGATTCTGAAAGGAAACTAAAGGTTTTCTGACAAATGTATTGGGGTGTACTTATTTATGCTGAGCACTGTATATTAGAGACACTAAAAAAAGTCTCAGCTTCTCTTCCCATTCTTCTGATTGTGGTCAAGAGGCAGAATGAAAACCTCTCCATTGAGTTCTTCACAAAGCCACAAAAACATCCTCCCTCTCCCTCAGCGACAGTCCCTGAAATGCATTTACACTTTGACTCCAAGAATTTCTTTTGTTTCTTTGATGCGTTTGTTCTCACAAACGTCTGTTCTAACAAATTCGGAAAGGAGATGTAGAAAGTTGTTTTGACTCAACGAGATTACATGTCATTTTGAAGCGTCCGGGCAGAGTATAATGGAAAATGTCTTTGTTGAATTTAGAGGTCCAGACAGAATTCTTCTACGTTCTCAAAGTGCAAAAAAACTAAAAGTAGGGCAAAAAACAAAACAAAAAAAAAACCCGAATCAAAAAAGATGAAAGGGGCAACAGAGTGAGATAATATGGAAGATGGATAGAAGCAGCATGAACTAATCTCACATGTTTACATCTCAGCCAGAGAAATGTGACCTAGAAAGCAGCACTATTGTTAATATACTTCCAAGTGGCAAGCTATGTAGCAAAATTAGGCCAATTAGATGCTCAAAATATGCAGAAATTCATTAATACATTTTTGTCAATAAAGTGTTTTATGTTGTCTACATATTTATTTATTTGTTTTTTGTGGAGTGGCAGAAAGAAAACAGGTGCATGCGTGTAGTAAAGGACAACGCCATTACACTGAAATTCCTGTGGTTGCTATTGATCCATTTTAACCTACTTAAAGACAAGACAGGAACACGCCGACTCAAACAGGCACAAGCTCCCGGCTCAAACACACAAACATTTCTCCTACAGCTGCAGCAGAGGAAACATCAATAGAACCACAAACTTCTTAAAGACATTCCTAAAAACCACCCGAGAGGAATCAAACAGGCTCGCGCCGCACTTTCCCCAACAAATAAACAAAACAATACCCCGACAAGACAGCAGACAGAGGAGATTCCAATCCACTTGCAGGCTAATTAGCTTTACCTGCATGAGGAGGTGTTGGCTGGGGACGGGGATGGAGATGGAGAGGAGCGAGAGGAAGAGGAAATGACAGAAGAAGGCTGGAGAAAAAAGTAAACAATACGAATACGACCTCATTTCTAGATTTCACTAGTGTGTGTGTGTATGTGTGTGTGTGTGTGTGTGAGGGAGGGAGGTGTGGTTGGGACTGTGGGGTTTTAACTGACATGACAAGAGAGAAAACTTTATGATAAATACAACACAAAGTAGACATGTTGGATAAAACAGGTGAGGGAGTTTAAACAAAAACACAGATCGTGTTCTGAGATGAACACACAGCTGCAAAATCAAATCACCTACGATTCATATCGTTCATGTTGTTTCATCACGATATCTGAAACGCACTCTCTCTATGGAATAATGATGTTGTCAACGACAACAGAAACAGGATTTTTGCTTCTAATTTCCTCAACAGAAACACAAACACTGGTGAAATGTGACACCGTCGTTGTGAAAGAGTTAAACAGCAACATGAATACGTTACTGTTTACATTCAGATGAATGTTTCTGTGATGGAATCAGGCTCATCCGCCTGCTCATTTAAAGTGGGTAAACATTTGTCTGTGGGATTTTTCCGAGTGCATTTTCTCCAGCTTTTAACAAAATGACTGTAGGAATCGTTGTCAACGAAGAACCTCGCAGGTAATTCTTGCTCATGGCCGGTTGTGTAGAGAGGAGCTGATGATCTGCCAGCAGTCGGTTTCAGGGAAATATGTTTAAAATGTTTTTAACTGCAGGGTTAAACTGGCAGTGAGGTTTGCAGAGTAAAAACTCGTTTTGTCCTCGTTAACTTCTCTTATTTTGTAGTAATTAGAGAGCATAATTGGGCCTTTGAAATATTTAGCAAATAAGAATGTTACATATAAAAATGACTTGATACGCTGATGTCCTGCTTGTTGCTCATTGTTTAACGTGCTGATGAGAAGGGTAAGAAACCCTGGTCTGATCTTTAAGGGCGGGTGTTATCACTGGGCTTGAACACTCAAATCACAGGTCTGAATTTCACATAAATCAGAAAAGTTGACCTGGTTTAGTGATTAAGTCATTTTGAGACTAATAAATGGAAGATTTATCAGTGTTATCACTAATGAAAAGGTGTAAATCACAGTTTTTGGAGAGAAATGTCATGATTTTGAAGTTTCTATGATTATTTCAGAAGGATGAAATAATGCATGACTCAACCACACAGAGTGGGTTTGTAATGACGGCTTTTCCACCAATCCACATGTTTGTTTTTGTTTGTTTACTCTATGAAGCACCTTGAAGAAGTGCAGGTAAAATACAGCATTCAGGAGGCCCTAAACCTATAAATACCTTAGACAAACCATCGTTTCCCAGTTTTTTTTAGCTCCTCACTGAAAATGACTTTTATTTTTATTCTAAATACATTAAAGAAAAGTCTGAAGACAATGACAATCTATGCCGTTTATGTTTTAAATAAATGTTCCAATTAATTCAGCAGACAACAGGTTGATGTCTTAGATACATCTGAAAGAATATTTATTTTCTTTTAAAAACTAAGTTAGTGAATGCGTCTGGGTTAGGGAACCTATGTACCTGGGGTCCGTGGGCCCCTGAGCGGGTTGGACAGAGCCATGCCGATCTCAGTCATGCCGTAGCGCTCCAGCAGCGTGTGTCCCGTAATCTCCTCCCAGCGCTGCAAAGTAGGAAGAGGCAGAGCAGCAGAACCTGAAACCATTAACCTGGAAAAGACCGGAAAAAAATAAACTCAACACATCGCATTCTAGGGAAATATAAATACAAACACATTTTTTTTTTCATCAAATATAAAACTTGTCATTGTTGTTATGACTCTAATCTCTGTTCATCCTCTCACACATCTAAAGCACCGTGTCCTTTTAATATGATGTAGGGGCTTTCTGAGAATCCAAAAGGGAGGCGGGGTAGTGTTAATGCTGAAAATACAGGGAAAAAAATTATATATATATATATATATATATATATATATATATTGGTGGCACAAAGCCAATAAAACAAGAAAATAGAAGAAAGCACACAATCATGAAAAGAACTGATAAATGTTAGAAAAATAAAGTGTGTGTGTGTGTGTACAAATATTTAAATAGACATTTAGTTAGAAGAAAGCGTTTTGTTGCTGCTGATAAGATCAGTACCTGATTCTCTCTTTGCAAACAGCTTTGACAAAGTCCTTCACACGAGGCTGTGTGAAGTGCTGATCGTAGTACTGGATCAGCTTGGAATAAATTGTCGGCACAGCCATGAACACGTTAACCGTCGGAGCCCTGGAGTTCAACAGCATTTCCCACACCTGGAGAGAGACAGACACAGACACACACACACACACACACACACACACACACACACACACACACACACACACACACACACACACACACAGACACAGACACAGACACAGACACAGACACAGACACAGACACAGACACACACACACACACACACACACACACACACACACACACACACACACACACACACACACACACACAGACAGACAGAGACGCGGAGATAAGCAGAACATCTTACTGAAGACGGAGAGAAGAAGTAGATAAGAAAAGGTTAAGAGAAAGAAAGAATCCAACAGATAAGTTTTGGAAACTAAATGATTACATCTAAAGTCCTTCCATTGAAGCTGCAGAAATAAACACACACAAATGTTTTCTCTCTATTGGATGTAAACAGTGGAGTAGAGTCCACTGCAGCCTCATGTGAAATCAGTCAGCACAATGTCAAAAAAAGGAAAAACGTCATGATTTGCAAAGCTCTGAAGGTTAACAGCTAGAGGTCAGAGCAGCAACAGTTTTAAATTTTGTGGTTTCTTATGTTCAGAAAAGGGCCTCTAATGTTCCCAAATGAATTAAACGTGCAATTATTAATAGATAACTCATACACACTATATGTTTTTTTCTAGATATATATGCAATGAAAAAATGTTAGGTGGAGCTGAATTTCAATGAAATGATGTATTACAAAAGTGATTTTACAAACAAAAAACTAACTCTTTGGCATATTTTTTTGTAAAGCCAATAATTAAATGTAATTAAGAAAATAATCAGCTTAAAAAACTGAAAATCTCTGTTTTGATTGTTCTGGTTTCAGCATTTCTGATGTGATCAGACTCATTTGTGGAGAACATTAAGTGAAAAACATCAACATGTAGAAAAATAATTCAAATTACTGAATTTCCTCTAACTGATGGAGTTGCTCGCTGTCGGTTTAGTAAACTGTCTTAAATTTGCATCCTCAGCTCCATCCATCTAAAGAAAAATAGCAGGAGGAGCAAAAACTGCAGCTTGGGATCCGTGTGTCTGCTGCTTAACTGTGGCCACAGAATAATAGATTGCTGCTTCTGTTGTTTTACGCCCATAAACTGTGCTGTTTGTTATATGTATGGGACGTGCATGCTGCAAGGCGACATGATTAAAAACTGCAGGCTGCTATATGTGCGTGAAAGTGTCGGACCGTATAATTAGCAGTGAAGTATCACTTTTGGGAAGAAAAATCACACCCATTAGGCTTCAGTTGTTTATTTATCTCCGTCTTTGATGTTACTTATTTTAAAGATGTCCACAAAACTCAAAATATAAATCAAAAAAGACTCGTATATATATATGCACCATGTATTTAAAACAGTAAATGTTCACTTGTTTAAGACAATTTCACTTCACATATACTTCACATATCAGTGGTTCCAAGTCTTGCCCAAGCCCCCACAATGCGGCTCTAAAATTGGTCCTAACCTGGAAGTACCACAAATTGCAGTTCCACCCTCATCCACTAGGGGCTGGTGTCAGAAGCGAGCAAATCCTCATTGACTCCCATGTTAAAAATACCAATTTCACAGGAGAAATAAACATGTTTACAGCCTGGTTCCAAAACATGTTTTTGGTTTAAATGATCTAGTTTACACTCATGACAACTCTGAGGGGGGTGAATTTTTTTCTCACTTATCTGTTTAAGTGTATTAAAAGCCTAAAATTCTGTATAATTAATGAGCATCCGACCCACGTGACCACAGAGCTTGCTCCGTGGAAAGGCCTCAGTAGAGCCTCGGTCTGGCCTGGAAACTGCTCCGGGATTTTGAGTCTCTGTGTTTGTGTTTTCTTTTTTGGATATTTTTGTGCAGTTGTTGGACAAAATGACTTGCTGTGGCATTAATTGCACTAATAGAGCGTCCAAGGAGTCTCCATTTTTTTCGGTAAGTAAAATTATATTTATGTATTTTAGGTCACTGCCGAGCTGAGCTTAGATTTTAACATGTACTGTTTAACCATGAAATTTAAATGTAATAGGGTAAACCCCAGTGCATTTAACATAATGCTGCACTTTAGAAAATGGGTTGAAATATAACATGTTGGTGGAGCTGGGTTCCGACTATCGTCTTGTGGAGCTCTCGGGAGACCTCTGTTTTCCACCCGGTTCTCCCCTCCCCGCAGCTCGGCGCATCTCTGTCTGATCGCAGCTTCTGTCTGCTGCGCGGGCTGCCGGCTTGTGGGGCTCTGGGATGGAAACCTTTCCACCCGGTTCTCCCCAGCGGCAGCTCTGCGTATCTCAGATCGCAGCGGCGCTTGTCTGCTGTGCGGCTGCCAGCTTGTGGAGGTCTCGGAGACCTCTGTGTTCCACCCGGTTTTACCCAGCGGTCAGCCCGGCGTATCTCTGACTCAGAATCTCTGGTGTTGTGCACAGTTAATTCCGTTTGTAGCTAGGTTGCTACCTCTGTTAGCTTAGCTCCCACCTCCGCATTAGCTTTGGGTTAGCTTCAGGTTAGCTTGTAGCTAGTTCGACCGGGTGTCGTCAGTTGATCCCAGCCTTACAGCCCCACCCTCAGCTCCACCTCTCTTCCCTTTTGTGGAATTGTCTGGGCTTGACGGAACCTGTGACACGGTCAAAATGGCGGTGGTGGCCACCTCCCATTTTAGTACAAAAACTTATTATTGGAGCCTATGGAAACCCATTGTCCATATATGTATGTCGATGGTCCTGCCCTGAACACTGATGACAGAATGAATTAAGTGAAGAAGGACATGGACAACAGGTACGTCTACTCTCCATGAAGACAAACTGCTCCTCCTGCAGACTCACTTCTGTATTTCTCCTGCTTTTTTAGGTGACTTCTTTCTCCTCTCCTCTTACATTTTCTATATTTCACAAGTTCTTGCTTCACTGCCTCTGCAGTGTCTCGTCTGAAAAGTCCACACCTCCTCCACAAACAGAAAAACATCTTTTTTCCATCATCATCCACCAGATCTTTAATAATGTTTCAGCATTTTCTAAGCCACTTTTCTTCTGTCCAACCTCATCCCAAACTCACCTCATCTGTTCTCTATGAAGATGGCTTTCTGATTTATTCTACTATAATAGAGGAATAAAGCCAAGCTAGTAAAGATGTACTAATCAGCTAATAATACACCAATCCCACTCAGTCAAACATCATTACAAGTTGATCTGTGCGGTAGGGAGCATCTAGAGTTCAGCTATCCGCATTCAGAGAGAAGAATTATTAACTGAGCGTGCCCCGACCACTCTGGGTGGTGTCTATCAAGTGCAGCGAGGCGCTTCAACCAAGTTCACTCAAGAGGGGAGAGGGAGGTAATTTATGTCCATCAAGGAGCCGGTCTCCACCTCGGGGACAAGATCTGGTGAGAACCCAGACCGCCAGCCTGCATCCTAAACAACCTGAACTTGTTCTGCACTCAGGTCTGCACAACTGTATTAATGAGGGCTGCATTCCATTTAGAGGAAGTTCTGCTCGTTAGCATTTCTTACAGAGTAATTAGCATGTGTGTCTGCAGAAGTGGAACACGGCCCCCGTCAGCACACATGCCATGGATTAATTTCATCAGAGTGAAATAAACCTTTTAGACATCTAATATCAGTTATTCTTTTCACAATAATTATTAGGGCAGATATGAAAGTTTAGTTATTTTCCATAATCTTAGGAAAGCGATTAATGTCTGAGTCAACAATAGGGCTGAACGATATAGAAAAAAAGCATATCAATAAAAAATAATCAATGATTGATATCAATAATTATTGATAATTATAAAAAATGTAGAAAATATATTTTAAGTGCAGCCCTGGCCATTTGATGCCATTCATTTATGATAAAACAAGTTGATTGTAGTACCAACCAAACCCTTGACCAAACCAAATTTTTTCTATTGACCACGGCGTCTTTTCTAAGATCGCTGTATGGGTGAACTACTGTAACCTTCTCACGGGACAATGTTCTTCACCGCTCCTTGCTGCGACGCCTTGCTGTCTGTTCTGTTTGAGAGGGGAGGGCTTGGTGATGGAGCGTGCCTGGGTCTGTGTTTATGACTGGTTGGAAGTAAGTATTGACTCACTTAATAAATGACACAAAGTGGCAAAACACACTTAATAAATGACACAAAGTGGCAAAACACACTTAATAAATGCCAAATACAGTAACAACGACACTAAAGTTTCTCTCTGACTTCAACAGTTGGTAAATGAGTTGAGCTATACAAATTTAAACTGAGCTGTAGAGCAGGCAGTTGAGTTTCCAAGCCGACTGCTCATCAATCTTTTATCACGGCTTCTTAGTAAAGCGTCTTTGCTGCTAGAACAACACGCCAATTCCTCAGCTCTGCCTCTTCAGAAACATCTCAGCAGCGACGGTAATATTACATCTGAGGAGCTGCAGTGATTAAGTAGTCAGTAGGGATTTGAATGATTCCAGTCTGACCAGCTCTTTGTGAGAGAAGCAGCTGCCGTCAGTCTGAAACAGTACCTTTGAAAGAGACTACGATTTACAGAAAAAAATTCACAACCATGACTTTCTTCTCTTTAGGCCAAACTGGACAGAAATCAATGCAGAGGCTCTGCTGCCAAGGCTACATTTCAAAGATCTGATGGGACTAAATAGATAGACTATTGTTCACTTTGACAATGTCCCATAACGTCGGGCAGACGGTAAAAGCTACTTTTCAGAGAATGAAAGAAGGGGCTTGGAGGGCTGCTGTACAAGGTCAGGGATAACAGCTGAATACTGATGGTGATAATAGTGTCCAAATGCTCACGCTGACAGAAAAAGATGTCCTTAAAGACCTTTTCTTTCTATCTACCTTCACTATGAACCTGACCCAAAGAGAAACCTGAATACATTGGGAAACATGCATCAACACTGGTTTGCAGCCTTAACACACACACACACACTTACACTTCCGAGCCTCACCCCCCCCCCCCCCCCCCCCCCGTCTCATGGCCAAACAAGCACTATCATCCTTCAATGTCATCTCATCGATTGATCTGCTGCTTAAACCCCTGCCGTGAGTCGGCATTGGTCACATACAAAGCCACACAGGGCAATTCATCACTAAGCCCCAAACACTTAGTCTGACAGTCAGGAGGGGAGGAGGGGGGTGAGGAGGAGGCTTGCAGAGGGTGAGGAGGGGAGGAGGGGGGTGAGGAGGAGGCTTGCAGAGGGTGAGAGGGGACGGAGATGAAGCAGGGAGAAGTGAGGAAAGGCAAAAAGTGACAGAAAAAGACAAACTGGTGACAAAACAGCTAGGTATGAACCGCCCTGCACACTTTGAAACCTACATAAAAATTCTTCTTCTATTATAAGAATTGCAGCAATGCATGTGGCCTCTTTGGTGAAAGGATATTTGTATGACAACAACAACAAAACAGATTCTAAATTAAAGACAAAAATAATTTTTCAAACCTTTTGTGGCTGAAATTCAGGAAGCATGATGCAGGTGGCGCCCACCCAGAGCGGGCACAGCAGCTTGTTAATGATGCCATGCACGTGGTGGAGTGGCAGGGTGTGGAGGATGACATCATCCTTAGACCACGCCCACTCTGAAACCAAGCACTGTACCTGATGGGAAGCAGGACAGAGAAGAGAGACTTTTAAAGCAAATCAACTTCATCATTTAAAATAAAAAACTTAAAAATTCTATTTTGACAAGCTGCATCAAATCTTTTAGAAAGCACATTAAACAGGCAAGGCGATCCCCTCACATTACTGCCAGACTAAAGTTTCAAGTTAAAAAACTAAGTGAAGAGTTGGCTGTTTAATTTAAAATAAAATATAAAAGAGTCATATACCATTGCCTGAATGCTACGGTGTGTGTGTAAAACCCCTTTGGGGCGCCCCGTGGTGCCACTGGTGTAGATGATCATAGCTGGCCGGTCGGCCCAGTCTGTGATGGCCATCTCCTTCTCGCGTGTGTCTGTTCCATCTAAAGCGTTGAGGTTAGAAGTAGGAGGTAGAGTCAGACACGGCAGTCCGAGTTTCTGAGCCAGCGGCTCAAGGATCTCTGCGTAGGGATGTGCCGCCACCAGCAGCGAGCTCTGGGAATCAGAGATGATGTACTCCAGCTCAGAAGGGGGGTGTTTTCGGTAGAGTGGCACCACCGTCCCACCACTCATCCAACCTGCCCATTGTCCCACTACATAAGAAGCATCATTTGCACACAAGAAGGAGACTCGTTTTCCATGAAGACCCCCAAAGTCAGAATTTAGAGCAGCATTGATCCTGCTAGCGAGTCCTAAGCTGCTGCGGTACAGCTGCTTGTAGCTGTGCCCTCCACTGCTGTCTATGATGGCAGGTTTATCTCCAAATGCTAGTGCTCTCTCAAACACTGGCTTCTGGTTTATCCTCGATGACGGTGCTTTAGTCCATTCGTGAGTGTGTCTTTGAACTCTAGCTCCCAGTTGCCACCGCCCTGATTCTAACTGGCTAAAAGTGCTGCAAAGAGTGAATTTCCAGAAAGGAAAAGTTGACTTGAGAGGGAGCTTGGCCAAAGCAAACAGCTCTGACATATTAGAGACTTTGCTGGACGTCACCCTGCAGAGTTGTAAGATGTTCAGTCTTCTTCCATGCGCTCATAAAAAAAATAACTGTGGGTTGAGGAAAAAACAAAAATGAATAGTAATTCTAGAACTATACTTAAAATAATAATAGTAATAGTAAGCAATAAACACCTAATGTTTTTTCATCAAGCAACCACAAATGTCTACAAAGCAAAGGGTAATAATGATTAGCGTGTTGAGAACAAGCCCCCACAATGCGGCTCAAAAATTGAGGCCAACCCGGAAGTGACAAAACTTGCAGTTCCACCCTCATCCGCTAGGGGCTGGTGTCAGAAGCAAGCAAATCCTCATTGACTCCCATGTTAAAAATACCAATTTCACAGCAGAAATAAACATGTTTACAGCCTGGTGCCAGAACATGTTTTTGGTTTAAATGATCTAGTTTACACTCATGACAACTCTGAGGGGGGTGAATTTTTTCCTCACACTTCTGTTTAAGTGTATTAAAAGCCTAAAATTCTGTATAATTAATGAGCATCAGACCCACGTGACCACAGAGCTAGCTCCGTGGAAAGGCCTCAGTAGAGCCTCGGTCTGGCTTGGAAACTGCTCCGGGATTTTGAGTCTCTGTGTTTGTGCGTTCTTTTTGGATATTATTTGTGCAATTGTTGGACAAAATGACTTGCTGTGGCATTAATGGCACTAATAGAGCATCCAAGGAGTCTCCACTTCATTTTTTTCGATAAGTAAAATTATATTTATGTATTTTAGGTCACTGCCGAGCTGAGCTTAGATTTTAACATGTACTGTTTAACCATGAAATTTAAATGTAATAGGGTAAAACCCAGTGCATTTAACATAATGCTGCACTTTAGAAAATGGGTTGAAATATAACATGTTGGTGGAGCTGGGTCCCGACTATCGGCTTGTGGAGCTCTCGGGAGACCGATGTTTTCCACCCGTTCTCGCCTCCCCGCAGCTCGACGCATCTCTGTCTGATCGCGGCTCCTGTCTGCTGCGCGGGCTGCCGGCTTGTGGAGCTCTGGGATGGAAACCTTTCCACCCGGTTCTCCCCAGCGGCAGCTCTACGTATCTCAGATCGCAGCGGCACTTGTCTGCTGTGCGGCAGCTGGAGCTCTCGGAGACATCTGTGTTCCACCCAGTTTTACCCAGCGGTCAGCCCGGCGTATCTCTGACTCAGAAGCTCTGGTGTTGTGCAGAGTTAACTCCAGTTGTAGCTAGGTTACTACCTCCGCTAGCTTAGCTCCCACCTCCGTGTTAGCTTTGGGTTAGCTTGTAGCTAGTTCGACCGGGTGTCGTCAGTTGATCCCAGCCTTACAGCCCCACCCTCAGCTCCATCTCTCTTCCCTTTTGTGGAATTGTCTGGGCTTGACGGAACCTGTGACACGGTCAAAATGGCGGTGGTGACCACCTCCCATTTGGCCTATGGAGCCCATTTGTTATTGGAGCCTATGGAAATGAATTGTCCAGTATTTATATGTTGATGGTTGAGAACAATGAAACATCTTGTAATGAGGGGAGTTGTAATGTCAGGAATCCAGAGTAAAAAGCAGAAACACCTCTCAAGAAATCTCCAAAGTTTTATTAAAACTCCTCAGAGATGGATGGACTCAAGCTGATGTTAATTTACTTTAATGAACTAAGGAGAGTTTAAAGCTAATGCTATGACACATATTAGTGAAGCTTATTGTATACATCAACATTAAAGATTAGAATCCCAACTGAAACTTACCGTTTTCACTTTGAAAGAGACTTTGTACAACTTTATTGACATCCATGAAACACATTTATAGTTTTTACAAGCAGATTTACAACCAGTTACCATTACCTTTAGTTTCTCAGTTCAGAATTCCTTTATACAAACGCGTTTGCTTTGACCACAAAAGTATTTTTTCAATTCACAAAAACGTGTGGATTTGACTGACACGTCCATTTCTTTCTTTTCTTATTAAATAATTTTAGCACTATTTTTTACCCTAAGTACTAAAAATTATACAAATACTTCGCATTTATAAAGCTGTTATATTTAATAATCTTATTTAAATAAGGCAATTGGCTACATCACTGAACACCTGAGCAGTTCGTAAGCAACTCAGACTGACAGCGGCACTATCAAGCTCATTTCTGTAACTTCATGAACCAAAATCTTCATAACGGAAAATATTGCATAAACATTGAATTTATTCCGTATGTTTAATTTTACTCATGCTTTCTACAACGCTACAACTACTTACTGTTTTTCGTTCAGCCTTCTGTTCAAGGACGGTGCAGCGAATTTATTCTGCCGGTAGGAAACAACGGCAGAGGAATACAGTTCCTAGGTAAAAGAGACAGCAGAAAAATAATCACATTTCCTGCGGCGAATGAAATACACGAATGTAGGTATAAATAAATAATTTAAAGATACATAAACATGAAGATAAAATTAGAAGATTTCAAAAAATAATTTCAGTACACATAAACTTATGCTGGGATCAACGTTGATCAGTTTATTCTAGTTTGAGCACCGATCATTTGATTAAAAAAAGGTTTTCATAAAAGAGCTGCCACCCACATAAGATAAAACTAGAGGGATTTAACGTTAGAACATCTACTCTTTAGTGTTCCAACTGGATAATTTTCATATTCTTACAATATGTTTTCAAATTTATACAGTATAATATCATGTTCTTACAATATACTATCATGTTCTAACCATATAAATGTCACTTTTGTGCATTATAATAATTATATTGTAAGAATGTGGTATTATATTGTACAAATGTGAACATTTTATTGTTAAAAACAATAGTATATAGTAGGAACGTGATAATATATGAAAGTTATGTTGTTGGAAAAATAAAGTCATACTGTTATATTGTCAATTTTTATTTTGCGTGGGTGGCAGCTAATATTCTTGGGATTTTCTGGGCACAGAGTTTAAATTCAAACAAGTCTCTTTGACCAGATAAGAGTGACATTTAAAAAAAAAATACATAAAAAAACAACAATTAGTTTAAAAATCTTTATCCATAGCAGTCGTGTACTGATAAAACACCATGGATGGCATTGTTGAACCTTTCTGCTTTTAAATTCACACACAAAATGACAAAACAAAAGTGAAACCTAAATTAAAGGTGCAATAATTTCCCTCGTAATAATGGAAACCTGGCAGTTTTATATCAAACAGATACAGCTTTGCTCCACTACAGGAAACATATTAGAAAACCAGGGCAAGTATTCCAATTATTAAGTGTCACCTCTTAGAGGAAACAATGTAACTGCTTCCCCTCACGACTTTAATGACAGGCCCAAATACTTTAAGGTAACAGTTTCATTAAGTGCAGATCTTCTAACATAACGTCTGTTTTCTGTTATCTTGTGGCTGCTGGCAGAACCCTACCCCCTGCAGATCCACTGCTGCTCACAAGAGACAAGGATGAGAGTGAGGAGAGTAAGGCGTGTACGCAGCTACCACACACAGTGCTGGGTTTGGCTTCAGATCACATGTCAGTTCTTTCACTCTGTGTGCCAACTAGCTTGGCTGGCTCTATCATCGCAGTGAAAGTGGGCACATTCAGCCGCCAGCTGGCAGTCGCGGGCCTTAAATAAGAAAATGGTACAGACATGGCACATGTTCAAAAAGTTTTCACTTCCCTCCCCAAACCCCCTACACTGCAGATGAGGATGGCATGTTCCTAACGAAATTCAAGCCTTTGTTTGAGAGAACTCCCCTCCACTCACCAGAATAGTATCGTCAAAGACCACTCGTTCCCATTCATAGGGATAAAGCTGCTATTGCTGCTCCTGCACCTATGTAGTTTAGGATAAATCCTTAATTTGAAGGCTATTTTTACGATCCTTGGCCCCTTTTTGGATGCAGCTGGCATCGCCGTCGTTTTTGAGGATTCCGCCTGAAAACAACCTTATGTCGTCTTGGATGATACAAAAATCGCACAGATGACTCACGCTTTGGATTTGTTTCCTGGAAGTTGGCCACATTTTCGACATTTCTTACATCGGGACCAGAATTGCGAGCGAGGAGGAATGGAGGGAAAACTGGAGGATAAAAAGAGAGGATCGTGATACTTCTGGAAAGGAAAAGCCACGAGGACCAACAGTTACCACTGAACAAGAACGTGCGAAGACAAAGAGCGAAAGCAGAGGCTGACGTTCTGCTGCACCGACCTGCTGCCAGCGCACCTTTTCAGAGAAGACCACCTGAAACGGTTTTCGCTATCGATGGGCAGAACGCCCGCAAGCAGGCACCAACTCCCATTTTGGCGTTGGGTTGCATGTAAGAAAAATAGGAAAAAAGTGGACCCCCCACGGATCTGTGAGAGAGACTGAGAGGGTAATGCAAACCATGGGGAGAACCCGAGCATGTGTCAGGTTGGCATCAATGTGAGAATGTCTTGGCAAGCTCTCCATCGTCTCCCCTCCCACCTCAGCTCACACACAAACACACTGTTGCCCTGCTTGGAACACATGGTACATCAGCAGCGGCATCTGGCTACGCTGACTCCTGGCAGCTGCGCTCCATCTTCGCCAGTTGGGAGTCTTGGCACTGCCACTTCATCAACTACCTGTGGCTCCTCCTGGGTAAAAAGGCGGGCGATGAATTATTCCGATGCTGCAGCTGCAAACTTGACTTTCATCCAAGAGTTTCACTGTAAACATCTGAGTGCTTCACAGAACACATGCCGCCCACACGCTAATGCGTGGTTGACAACATGGCAACATGCACTTTGCACAGTGTGACGTGAAGCCCTCGTGTGATGGCATGGTTCATTTGATGTGAAAGTCGGTCTCTGTGAAACCTTGTCGTGTGTTAAAATTGAACCAAAGAGAAACAATCTGCAGACAAATAGGAACATTTTGGCTTGCAAAATGGAATTTAAAGCCTGAAAGGCACAAATTTGTTGTGAAAAACGCAAATAAACGTTGGATTTTGAGCTCAGCACTCTTCTTCGAACAATTGTGCTGCAAATTTCATCTAAAAGGTCATTTCAAACACCAAGGATTAACTGCTTTACAATGAACAAATAAATAACTTTTAACCCTTGCATTTCATTTTTAATGGAAGTTTTGACAACCAAGGGCATTCCTGCTGAAGCGTTTCAAACACATTTCAGCTTTGACACAATGGACAGATGAACACCTCTGAAAGAGGATTACCTTAGCTCTTCAAGGAGTGTTTCCACGAGGACTGCTGTGAGGAGCTTATGACAATCACGGGGACTTCAACATTCAGTCTAGTCGTCTAGGTCATTCAGTCTGAATCAATTTAGCCCTTAAAATATCATTCACATACAAGACACACAAACAGAATAGTAAGAAGTATAATTTGAGTTTATAGTCATAGTAAAATACTAAATAGCTGTTCAGCTCCATCTGAGAAGGCTGATTTGTGGTCTGAAGAGAAGTAAATATTTATGTCTTTATAGAAGATTTTATTTAATGTCACTAAACATTCTAACCTTACAGATGGGCTGCTGTGCTTCTGATACACAATTAAGGGTCACAGGGCCACATATATTTATTAGGGATGTCCAATATTAGCATTAAAATGTTATATCAGAAAGTGTCATTATTGGTTTTTAATGACACAACGCTTACTTACTACACACGTCACACTCGTCTCCTCTCACTCCAAATGTCAAAATTGATCAAATCTGAGGCTAGTTTTTTTCTAACTTAAAACAAAAGCTGTTGTCATAATTTGCACAGATAATGTTTAAAGTTTAAAGAGACAATGTGTAGTTTTTACCGTTAATCTCTGGACATATCCATCGGAATGTTGTTCAACATTAATTAAATGATGCCCGGTTGTTTCAAAATATTGGTGACTTTGTGACATTTAACCATAAATATTGGGTCTAAAATAAATGTGAGCGGTCTAAGTCTCTGGGTGACACCATATTAGCACCATGTTTTCTTCTACGGGAGCCCATGAGGACAAAACGCATTTACTGATTTGAAACAGTTACAAAACTTTTGTTTGCCATACCTAAAAGTTGTTTTAAACATTTACCTCTTTTCTCGTTCCCGGTGATGAAAGGGAGTCTGATGTGCTGGAGGAGGATTTTTGCCCCTAATGGCCATCCGTTGATTAGATCTTTCTCGAACACGAAAATACCACTTGCTTGCAATGATTTAGGTATGTAATGCACCCTATTGCCAGGGAAAATACACACTGTAACTTTAAGCATTCATGATAGTAGATAAATTATGCTAGTTACTTAAAATGATTTTGTTTTCTTTCTTTTTATGAGGGAGGCCTTCTCCATATTGTTATCAGTTCACATTGGCACCATAAATTAAGAGATGGACCATATCCAATATCAAAAATCCCTAATAAATATTAAAAGAAAGGCAGTAATGGCTAGACTGCAAGCCTGAATGATGATTTATGTCGAAAACACACCCAACAATCTCTAATGCCATCATCAGTGTGAGGCTGAGACACGGGTTATGTGGGGGTCACATAAGCAGCATTTATTTTTAATTCCCCTCAGCTTGGGGTAAACATAAATGAGAACATAAATTTATACAAGCAAACTTTCACTGTTAGACTAAAATTCAACTCAGTTTCAGCTTAGACGTTTATCAATAGTCAACTTTTTAATTCTAAAGTGTTCACTGGTGAGATTCAGTTAGTCACAGCTTGTCAAAATGAGGTAAGATGAAGTTTTACAACGTTAAGGATGATCTCACAGTGGATTTTTCCGGCACGGCCCTTTTCACGTGGAACATTCAGCAATTAAAAATTTATCTCAAATGTAAAAATAGCTGCAGTCAGAACACTCGTTTGAAATCATTTATGGATTCTGAGTTTTTTGTTAGTTTTTGGACACATAAAAAAAATCAACCTGGAAGTCACATAAAAGGTTCAGATTTCTTGACTTCTATCTGATTTCTGTAAAGTTCATCATTTGCTTTTTGCACCTCAAGAACTGCGTGACCCAGTTTGAACTCAAAACCCGTTCGTATTCCTTCAGCCTCGTATCACACATAAAAGACAAGCTGTTAAAATCTATGAAAAACTGAAAAAATTCTTCACTCAAACACACACACACACACACACACACACACACCCACACACACACACACACACACACACACACACACACACACACACACACACACACACACACACACACACACACGCACACGCACACACACACACACACACATTCTCACCTTTTTTTCTGTGGGTGTTAGTCATCTGACAGTTACCCAGAGGGAGTTTTTCTTCCCCATCTGTGTCAGTCTGACCCATTTTAGCCCTTGGCCACATCCAACTGTTCCATGTCCCAAACATATGCGGGGTGGCAGG